TTGGTTTCCCTCAATTGCTGCTTTTTTTCTACACGATCAAATTTCAATTTTTAATCAAATAGTTTTTAACTTCCATGATTTGTTAGAAAATTTTCAAGCTTCACGTATCGTAGAAAATGGAATTTTTGAATAAAATGCTTCTCTGACAATTTGAATTTTTGGTTAGAATTGGAAAACGTGAAATATGCTTCGTTCATTTTTGTTACGAGCTGAAATTCGAACTTAAAACGTCGATCAAACAAAAGTACGATAGAGTACAATAATTAAGCAATTAAGTTGTCGTGTTTAAATTTAAACAGGAATTTTTCGAGTAGCTATAATTAGGCTATTTGAACTAATTTGAATTTCTCTCTCATTATACTTTACATGTTCAATATGAATATTTTATATTATGTGACATAGTGGAAATTGCAGTGCGTAATCAGACATATTAAAGGGTTAATTTTCAAATTACTATTTTACATTATTATTAAAATTAATCATTTCCAAAAACTTCAGTATGTATGTGCATATTTCTTTATTGTAATGAGGCTAGTGTTTATTTTTCCAGATTTATTGAACGTCCGGTTCTTCATTATACTATTTATATATCTATATCCCTATTTATTGTTATAATTTATTGTAACAGCGAGTATTTTAGAGTAATCCTTTAAATATCCAAAAAATTCAGTAATAAATATTTGATGAATTAGAAAAAATATATATAAAAATGGAATGAAATTTAAAAAATTTGATATTTCCTGTATTTCTGTCCACACTTCATCAGGATTTTGAGTGATCTGGAACTAGACCCTCGATACTATTTTCTATTATTATGCTAATACGAAGAATATTTTCGAACATCTAGTTATGTTGTGTAGGTTACCCGAGTGAAGCCGTGCAACTTTTGCATGTAGCAATTTCCTGATATTTCATCCATATCGAATTTCTCGTCTTTCAGTAAAGTCGGAAGAGTTGAAAGGAAGCAACTAAAATTGAACACGGATCTGCGTTTCAAGTTCCGAAAGTCTCTTTCCGTAAGTGTCGGAAGACACATCGTTCCGCGATTCAACTTTTAGAAAAGTTTCCTCTGGGAACCGAAAACACAGCTTGAGAAATCCTATTTCTCTGCCGATCAGAAAATATTTTTCGCCTATTCTCAAATGTCCGTATCAGTGGCAGGAAATTAGAGAATTCAATTAGAACAGAGGTTTGATTATTATATAAAAATTTAATTGCAAAATTTTCCCATATTTCAAAACTATAGTCATTAATTCATAATAAATAAAAATAATATTTAAGTGAAATTTCCTAGAGCATACTCGATATTCGAGTCGAGTCTATATTAAATTAACACTAGAATTAACAAACCAGTGAAAATGACTGGTTTCTAGTTTTTTATTTTAAATTACAAATCTGATCGAGGTATTTTTGTTGAAACGTATGTTGGTGATTGTTGAGATAAAGAATGGATGTATGTATTAAATTATTTCATTCTCCATTTATTTAATTTACTACGTTGTTTTCAACTTTAAAATGTCGGTAATTCTAGTGTTAATTAAAAATGGAGTTCTAATCAGAAATTGATTCCTTTGCAGTATGTCATTCGAAAAAGAAAAAGTGAAACAGAATTTTATAAAAACATCATGGTCGCTGTTAAAGGTTTTTCAATTTAAAAGTCAATTCCAAATTGATCCCTCTTAAAACGTACCGCAATTTCCTTTTAATATTCCCCTTTAATTACAGTTTATCGAACAGCTATATCCCCGAGAACTTTATTACCTACAATCCCTTCGAACTTCCGCTTGGAATAGGAAGCGCTCTAAACATTATGTATACGAATTTCACTAGCGGTTTATAACTTTCGTAGAGGGTAGAGAGTGAAATTCGCTAAGGGATGTGAATTAGATGGCTTCTCCTCGTAAATGTGGAACGATATAGTTAAATCATCGTTTTTGTCTGCTAAACACGTTCAACGAGCGATATATAGGGGTAGAACAATAACTTTGATCACTTTCATTATTTTCCAAGATATGAAGAAGCATATATCATAAACATTTTATGATATCCCGAGCCTTTAATTTTCCGATAACAACGTAATTGCAATTATCATAAAAGTTCATCATATTTTATTTCAAAATCAATTTGTACTTCACGACGAGTGTTATGGAATTTATAAGCAATAAGCAATTATTCTGAAACACGTTACGTTATATTCGAACATTTAGTACGTGCTTAACAGAATTACCGTCGCTCATAAATTAATTGTAGCTGACACGGGGGTATTGCGCGTGTGACCCTAACCCTTTCAATATGACAGAATTCTACCGGAAATGCATTTTCGTTGTCCAGGCTTAGCAGGAACATTAACAGGACATATACATTAGTATAATTACCAAGTGTCAGAATATTTCCATAGATTAATCATCTTAGAGATATTTAGTAATTAGAGATGAGATTTAAGTAAGTACATTGCGAATAGGTTCGATTGAAACTAGACCAAACATTGAAGTGGGAATTATATTAGTTACCAAGATTATACAGGGTGTCCCAGAATTGGGGTAGGACCCGTGGAGGGATGATTGCTGAGGTCATTCCAACGGGTACCTAGAGCATACCCAACACTTTCGCGGTTCGACCCACGGTAAAGGCGCGCTCTGATTGGCCAGTGTTTTTCGTTAATAATTCGAAAACTAAGCCTTAACCAACATTTTGGGAATGGAAAAAGTTGTTTAGAGTGATCTCAGCAATCATCCCTCCATGGGTCCTACCCCAGTTTTGGGACACCCTGTATATGTATACCGCAGTTCACCAGAGTCCATAACTGCGAAAAGACCAGTTTTCGTTCTTCGCGCATCTCCAGTGCGCATCTTCGCCCTGATTGGCGATACTCCCAAACGAAGTGGAAAGCGATTGGCGAAGAGCTCGCTGCGTTCCCCCACCATCTTCCAACCTGCGCGTCGCAGTTATGAACTCTGGTGAACTGCGATATATGTGCTTTTTGTCCTTCGATAACGTAGACTTTGTACTTAATCCCGTCTCTAAACCAATGTAAATCCAACATTATTAATAAGTCCATTAGCAGATACGGGACCGAAAGGCTCTATCTTCTTCCTCACGTTATACCGGTAATAACGAGTAATACTTAATGTACGCGACATTATGCTCTTTACCGTGCTAAAGCTAAAAAGTGATTGGTTACGTAGCAAGGAGTAGGTTGGTATAAAATGGTAGCAGAGCGACGCGACAACGTCCACAGGGATTAAACCCACTTTCAGACTAGCCACATTTTATGACGGGACAAATACGCTGCAATTGTCGTTGCTTTGTCGAGCGAAAGTTCCGCTTCCTGTCACGCTAAAGCACCGACTACATCGTCATATTTTGTAGTGAGCTTGAAACTGGTCCGAGAAGAATTTTTTTTTTTTATTTTCAAATCTTCTTTCTTTGGTTTTAATAGAATAATTATGCACAAAAAAACCATGTAGATATATTACACAAGTTATCCACGTAACACTCGGCTGCCTTTCGAGGACCATTGGTAGAGAACCTCTGCTTTATACCAACACGTGTTTGTTTTACTCGTCCATCGAATAAATAACGAATAGGCGAGCCAGGCTCTTTTATAAATACAGTGATATTCTTTTTTCCTCTCAACAGTACAAATTGTCCAACACAGGCGATACAGTCACCCCTGAGGTTATGTCTCCCCTTACAATTTTCATAACATCGTACAACAGAGACAAGTTAAGTTAGCCATACGCTCCCTTTCGCATTTATTTATTCAAAATATACGAAAAATTTACACTTTTATGTGTGAATGAAATTTTGTAAATACAAAGTACTAAGTACATTTTTGTTTTGTTCTTTTTGTTGCAGTAATAATATGGTATTTTGAAATTTTTATTTAAATTGTATAATATTGATAATTTTCAAAAATTATAATTAAAAATGTTTAGAAATACAGATATTTCATGTAGCAACCAGGGATTAATATTAAGCTGTTACCCAGGGAATTGCTTCAGTATTAAAACAGTAAATTACCTCACCGCCTTAATCCACTGGATATATATTTATAATTAGTAGAGGGTTCCGGATATAAGAGGTGATCAATGGGATAAGTATTCGAAACTGTTTCGCCGACACTGCAAATATCTTCGTCAGAGACTGGATAGACACACTGATACTGCCGTCTGGCTATTAGTAATCGGCTATTTAGAGTGACAGTTTTGGTTACGGATCACCAACCACCAACGGTAGACCTTTCTTAATTGATCAGCTGGTCAATTAAATCCTTATCTATTGAACGCGGCTTATACCCGAAAGCACCTACTTGTTAGTCAGCTTTTGAAAGCGTCAAGAACCTTATATCTTAAATTGCATAAGCAGAATACATAATACCACTAATTAACTCGAGGCAATTAGCAGATTTCTGTCTATGAAAATAAATATAAAAATTATATTGAAGTGATATAAAAATCTCTTCTTAGTTTCTCACATTCTAATCGCATAAGCGTATATGCATATGCATGGGGTTATGATAAAGTGTTAAATTCCGCAGAATGATTAGCTAATCGGCTTATTAATGCGCTCGAAAGTAACTTCAGAATTCATCGTGCGCTATCCTCTCGCCCTCTCTAAATGGGCGTAACCGAAACTCTTGTTTTATTAATGTCGAATCACACGGTGCACTTAAGCTGAGTAATTTGCTTACTCACGTTGGTCTAGTGTTCCTGACATACGATCTTCCTTTACTCGCTAGGTGCTTCCAATAATTGATATTAACGATTTGCAGCATGCTAATTAATTATTGTATTATATTCTAGTACTCCTGAGTAAATCACTTTGGAAAATTTAGTAATTTTGTAATTTAAAAATTTGGCAATTTTAGTAATTTATAAATTTTTTAACTACCCTCTACGTTCCATTTTTTTTTCTTTTACACTCCCCCAATTCTCATATAAAAACTAATGAATTAAACTATGATAACCACCAGTTCACCCTGTTCCTTCAATTTCCAGGTACACTTGAGATCTAAAAGAAGCCAACGATCGCGAACGAGGAAGGGTTAGAATCGAGTGTGCCTCGTCGAAAGAAGAGTAAGTGTGCACGTGAGATGAGTGTCGTGGTCTAAGACACTTGTTGCACATCGACTGTCTCTTAAGAAGTGAGCTTGAGGCGGTATGCTTCGTCAGAGCAACAGGATCAGTCAACGTCCGAAAAAAGGAAAATCCGAAAGTCGCGCGTGCCGTGAATTTTCCGTTCCTCCAGGTTCATTCCATTCATACGTGCATCTATCTCCACTAGTGTACCATGTTCATCCGTCAACTCTATACAAATTCCTAAGTGTTGATCGTGCGACGTGGCGTTAAATATTTTCTAGTGAAATTCCCTTCGAAATTTCATCGGATCATTGTGAACAGAGAATATGAACGTAATGGTATGTTCAGACCGGTGACACCGGCGGTCGCGTGTGTGTGGCGAACGCGTTGATACCCGTAGGAGGATATCGTTGCCGAAGGGCGGCTTCGGGGCGGACAGGAAGGAGAATAGACCGGAAGGCTGGATCATCTGCGTGGAATGTCTTCGGGCGCCAAGCGGCTGGTGCAGTCGCTTCGGGGCCGCAGTGGAGGAGGCAGAGGAAGCGGCGGTGGTCGCGCGGACGCCACAGGCGGGGAAGGTAGCGGCGGGGGTGGCGGCGGTGCCAGCACCAGTGCCACCAGATTGTGTCATTACGACAGCGGCCACGAACTCGACGAAATTTCGGTGGTGGGGGCTACTATCAGGGGCAGCGAGGGCCTTCCCACCCCCACCACACCGTGCCACTGCGGCGGTTTAAAATATGGCAGCGGGCAAACGCTTTACAGCATCGCCGGCCTGGTGCCTCCTGCACCTGCGATACCTTCTCATGGTGTTCAACCAGGTGAGTAAGCAGTTTTTCTACCACTTCCAACTTGATACATTCCATGAACGATAGAAATAATTTTATTTTATATAACTGTAATTTTTTTAACAATTCGTGCGATATACAGTAAAACAACTTTGGTATTGTTTGATAATTGTATAGTATCGAACACGGTAGGCTATCAGGTATTCAGGTGCTCTCGCCTCTCCCTGGACACCAATCCTATCCCATGAGTGGCCACGGGAAGAATGACGAGAGTGAGACAAGGGGCCTCTATTATATAGGCCTGTGGCGGACCTCCACCACTCGCGTATAAAGGTTCGCGCGGGAAAATTTGAATTGATATTTATGTTACTTAAAGATGAATTATTGAAATCGATGGGTAACGTTTCACCCTATCCTTTAATAAATACATTTTATTGTTTATTTTACGCTACATATTCAAATAGCAATTAACTTCCATAACGGTCTAGCGAACCGCAACGATTTCTCGTTCAGGAATTCAAGGTATTATTTTTCAATCAATATTGAAATTAGCCAGAGGCTAAACCACGAGATCAAAAAGGGGATTTTCATCTGAGCAAACAAGATAACTTTTTAACCTAACCTAACCAACAAATTTTTATTGTCAGCTACTGAACTGTGAAATCACTGTTGCAGCAAGTATAATTTCTGAATAACATCCAAAGGGAAATTACAGGGAAAAGTGGTAGTTTCTTATCACAGCTGTTAGCGAGAATCTCGTGAAGGACATTAAGCTTTATATTATGTACACGTGCATGCTCAGCAGGCTGCAGTTTTTTCCCTCGATACCAACTCCAGACTCTATTATGCTTATTCTGAATGCTTTGCTGTGAATAAATTTGATTTTAACCAGAGACCAAGTTTTTGTTTATTAAATAAGCACTTTCTTTTATTTTTATTTAAATAATCCTATTTTCTCGCCACTTTTCAGATACACAAAACCGCGGGAACGAATTCAAATTTAAAATAGTAATTAAGAAAGTGTAATACTAAAAATTAATTTCTGCACCTAATATATAGAAAATAAAACAGCAAGTAACATTGTAGAAATGAATTTCTTGAATTTTCACAAATTCGAATATATCATAAGGAAATACTAAACGAAACTTTATAAAACTGGCATTGTCACCATGTAATTAGTAACAAGTCGAATAAGTTTGTTGCTTAAGCACCTTCGGATGAAAGTTTGGTACTCGGCTGCGTGAGCATAACCCAGGTCGTAATTAAAGAGGGCAACGCTAGGCATTGCTCGACAGTTATGAAATAATTTGCAAATTTGCACGATAACACTTTCGAGTGGAAAATTAAGATGAACTTATCAGTTTTGCAGCTATTCTTTTTTTTTGTAGTTATAATTCAAATACTTGGAAAGGTTTGAATGTGACATTTTTATTACTTTATATTAATTGATGATAAAAAAGAAAGGAGAATCTCGTATTTCGGTAATTATTTATGACGCTACCCTGACACGAGCTTATCGAATGCTATCCTTCATAATGTCGCGAATTGTACTTTGGACGTTTCACCTGGAACGTTTGGATACAGTATTTAAATGCAAATAGTGAAAATGAAATATGGATATTTTTCAGATACATTCGTTACATAAATTCTCGATTTATGACGTAACCGGGAATAAATGAATCCCAGAGTGTATACCACTTTTTCTTTACAACTTCAATGTTACATAAATTGTCTGTAAACATAACAATATCAAATACTAGGTAAAGATTTTAGAATCTTGAAATTTTAGAATATTGGAGAGACCAATTCACATATTTTGTTAAGGGGCCGTCCTGACCCCCACTTACCCCAACTATGCACATAAGAATAAAATATTTTACTTATTATTCCAAATTCAAATCTAGTTTTTTCACAACGTAAATAGCAACTTCTATCGTTCTCTTCTCCTCTTGTCTTGTAGTTCTAAAATAGCTTTCTCGGTGCGGTGCTATTGATATCGCGTTAGTGTTATATGGATGGAAGAGGATCAATACTTTGGTACTCCCAATGCCTTTAGAGGTTGAACGCGACCGTGAAGATTCCTTTGTAAAAGCCGCAAAACCTTTGATGAAGAACCCTGTGTTATCATCAAGCTCTACTTCCTCCGCTTTCATTCTACCAAGAGGGCAGACTTCCTACAGGACGTTTGCAATTCAGACAATTAGAGGCGACACGTCCTGGTTACTATCAACTATCACCAGACCCGATCGTCTGTTACAACTCAGACCCGTGCTATCAATCGAATCGATGAATTTAGAAAAGAACTTTGTAAAATTCGTGACTTTTATGGTAATCATTCTTGCAAATACTTTCTTGTTCCATTTGCATATTTACACAAGCTAATTGTGCACAGAATTAGGAAAAATTGTACAGTACCGAGCAAAGTAGACTTTTTTAGAAAAAATGACGGGAAAAAGGAATTTTGAAAATCCTAATTTTAAAGATATTAAGATTAATTTAGACAAAGTTAATATAATTTTTAATTACTGAATATTAATAATACAATTTTTCTGAATAAACATTTAAACAGAATGTGGAGGAACATTCTTCCCATTTTCTTTAGAGAAACCTAGGATGGTCGATGCAGTAAAAATTCTAGAAGATAAATTAATTCATTTTATTCGATTTTCTATATTGATTTGGCGAAAAAGTTTTCTCGTTTTTATCAGTAGGTGGTATTAATGTCGCTTTACGCGCGAACGCTTCTATTGTTTCAACGGGTGGATATGTGACGTGTTAAAAATGAAAGATAGAGAAAGAAATTTTTGTTGTATTATTCTATAAAAGTAAAAACGCTATGTATTGTACGGTGAAAATGCTATATACAGTACTGCCCATAAATAATATAAAATAATTAAAATCAGTGATGCATTAAGGATATTACTGAACTGAAAGCCATTACATAAAGTGGCAATGCATCATTAAATGAAAAATTAAAGATATTCATAGCCCGGTTGTATTACACCGAATTTTTCGGTACAATATGCGTACTAAAATTTATCAAATTAATAGAGTGCTCCGATTATGAGAAATTCATGTTTAATATAGAGACAATAAATACCAACTGAGAGAGAGAGAGAGAGAGAGAGATTATTTTGAATATTGCTTAGTAGATTCTCCAGCCATCTGAACTCTCAGGAATTTAATGGAGGAAATGATCTCGTTACCCACATGGAATTGATTCGAATTCCTATCCTAGTACTCGCTTTAGACTTTGAGAAAAAGTTCTTCATTTCAAAAATACTTCAATAATTATCTTCTACATATACTATAGCGCTGTTGTCGTACGTATGTGTGAACGTAACGAAGTCATAAAAATCGGTGTACGAGAGGCGAAACGGTCGAAATCGATCTGGGTAGAATCGGATTCGGACTAATTCGACCATGGGGAATGCCGCGGTAACTCTGATTTTTTTATCTAACCCTTCCCTGAGCTTCTAGAGGCTGCAGAACACTAAGAATCCACTAAAAATCGCAACAAAAATAAAAACGAATGAATCGAGAGGCGATAAATCGAATAAATCGAATAATCGATCAAGGTAAAGGTGGACATATAGCAAATCGGACTCGGGGAATCGCGTGGTAACTCTGATTCTTTTATCAGAAAATAAGGAAAATCGTCCAAAAGGGTTAAAAACCGGTATTACCGATATAAACCGGCTTAGATTGCAAATATTGCCTATTAATAATGAAAATTGCATGAAAAACATGTCCCTGTTTAACACGCGGCCTTGGACGCGGCGATCCTCTAGTCAAATTAATAAATTGACTTCCTCTAAATTTTGCTCTCTTATGAAGGTGTTGATAGACTTTCGGTTTATATACGTCTGACTTAGGATGACCTATTCGGTCAACTGGCCTCGAGTAGAAGCAATCTGCTTCGCTTGTTAGAAGTCCAAGTCTGACAAAGCTCACGCAACATACGTTATTAACTGGGGCTTTCGCGTTGAGTGAACACAGCTCTTAATCGAAGAACGAGCCCCTTCATCAGGATACCATCCTACTCCCTCGGCCAAAGCAGACTACATTTAAAATTGTTATAAAACGCCCGCATGTTCTCCATCCTATTCCTATTTACATATTCACTTAGCGAGTTTTCAACTAAAACAGCAACGTTTGCTCTATAGACTAGAGTGGTGTGCATACGCGTACAAACGAAAGAGACATCTAAGCAAATATCGTTCAAGTTTGCTGCACTTGAAACACGGATAACGATAACGAGCGGTAATACGTAGTTGGTCAATTTGGAGAATCCATTAGCCGTAATTAGGACAATTCAGGCTAACATGATTGAATCCCTTTTTTAATTTAGAAGTCTCAACTAGAAACAGGACTCAGGCAATTGTTATAAGTTATATTTGTTTTCAGAGTTTAATTAGAGAATTCGGAATTTAAAAATTTTGTAATTCTGAAATTTGGAAAATTCTGGAATTCTGAAATGTGGAATTTTAGAATTAAAAAATTATAGCATTACAGAATAAAAAAGTTATAGCAATATGTAAAACAGTAGAAGATGGGACATGATATTTTGATGTCATAAAAAGAAACTATAAATCACTTTTACTGTTATGAGAAAAAGGTCAGTCACGTTGACGTTTATGGTTATTAAGGAATGGGTCGCATAAATAAAATACATTTCTGCGAATAGAATTTTATATAAGGGCCATTGAAAAAAGATCCTCAGGATTTCAGAATTTGTTTCCAGGAAAATCTTTTGTTATGCAATTTGAATATCCAATGTTAATGTTACGACCCAGCTACAAAAATAAAAATTAATTTACTAAGCTCGTATAAAAAATATAATATCCTCTATACAGGAAAGTATACTCTAAATTAGCTACACAATTAAACCCTGCATATAACGAAGTTTTAATTATGGGTTGTAATTACCATAACTTGGAACGTCATTTATCCAAGAGTTAATCCCCTCGGAAACGAAGCACGTATGAATAAATTTTTATTTTACATTTTCATCTATGTTTTTCGTATAAAAT